GAACACGTCACCTTGGGCTGAGCTGCCGTGGGCTGCCGACGGGAGGCCAGATGGCGACTGGACTTGGAGCTGAGCTAGCTGCGCCCTGCACAACTAAGATTGAAGGACAACAACTTGGCTGTTCTCCTTCCCCAATTCCCCAATAAAAAGTCTAAAAAAACCCCCAAAAAACAAAAACTGACACAGCTAACATTTATTCAGGGCTCAATGAATGTCGACAATCCAGTGATGGAGGGACTATTTCTCTCTCTTGCTCTCTCTCTCTGCATATGAGGAAACTGAGTCATAGACAGTTTAGTAGCTTCCCTAAGATGACATCGCTAGTAAGTGACAGAGTTGGGATTTGAATCCTGACATTGATGTCTGTACTTTTATTTATTTATTTATTATTATTATTATTTTAAGTTTTAAAAGTCATGTTTATTGAAGCATAATTTACATTCAGTAAAACTCACTCCAATTTTGACCAATGCAATTTACCACCATAATCAAAATGTAAAACAGTTTCTCAAAACTCCCTCATGCCCCTTTGCAACCAACCCCTCCCCTTAGGAACATATAATCTTTAGAACAGCCAAAAGAATGGAATTTTAAAATAATCTTTGTAAGTTAAAGCACAGTTGACAAAGTTGTCTTAAGATAGTTGTAGAACAGGTAGCCTAGTTACTGTGTCAAGCTGCAGGCTGGGGCCGGATGGTAGAAAAACTTTAAGTAATGGAATTGTATTCTATGGAAATTCCCTATGGGGCAGACATATATTCTTACAGATATATTCTTACAGCACCTTCTCAAAATTTACTCTAGCTACCATGAAAGGGAGAAAGCACAAACTTCTTTGTATATTACCAACTGTCACATGTTCAAATACACCTTATTTACATGTGAAAAGCTTCTTTGAAGCACCAGCCCTGAAGTGTGTCAGCATCTTTGAACTGGACTGAGCCAAGTCCCGAGCAGAGGCCGAAAAGTGCCTGTACTTTTAAACACGATAACAATAGGCTAAGGAAACTGAGACTTACAGATATTAAATAATTTACCCAAGATCATATTGTAGTATTGAGAATGGAACCCAAGTCTTCCCAAAGCCTGCACTCTTTTAATTATATTTGACATACTGCTTCTCTTGCTTTAAATGTCAATGCTAAAGCTCATACTAGGTGTTGATAAATTTTAAAAGCTGCAGGTGCAGTTTACTGAGATAGGAGAATATTAGATTCCAAAAGGCAGAGTTGTAGCTTACTGGGCTGATTTACCTTAAATACTGATCTCAATGTGAAAGCCATGTTTTCTAAGGCTGGCCTCAGTGAAAACCCACTCTCATTCTAAAATTTATGCTTCCCTTTCTGAAAACCAGTGATATGATGTTCCCAAGTTCTCTGCTTTTGTGGTTCCTCAGTGTGGAATGTATTGTTTCTGAAAGTGACCTGTGATCCACAAGCCTTCTTGGCTGTTTTATTGTTTACTCTTAAAAAATGACTACTCCTGGTAGGCTTACTAGACTCATTTTCCTTACATAGTACTCTGCTTTTCCCTTTATTTCAAACATTTATTAGACACTTAACTATGTACCAAAATGGAAATAACCTAACTCACTGAAGGCCATACTTTCAAAGAAACAGCCTTGGGTTTACATATTTTGACTGCAATATTATTTCCTTAACAAACTTCATAAAATCACCTTCTCAGTTTGGAATCATACACCCAAATATCTTTCAGCAAAATCTCAGTGGCTTTTACAGTATGTGATATGGAGAGAATAGCTGGAGCCAAGTCATTAAATCTTACTCCAAAGATTTTTACCAATACCTTGGCCCTTTATTTTAAAAACTATTTTTTATTGGGGAATTGGGGAAGAGGAACATTGTGTTGTTTTTTTCCAGGACCCATCAGCTCCAAGTCAAGTTGTTGTCCTTCAATCTTAGTTGTGGAGGGTGCAAGCTCAGCTCCAAGTCCAGTCGCTGTTTTCAATATTAGTTGCAGGGGTCGGGTGGGGTGGGCGTAGCCCACCATTCCATGCAGGAGTCAAGCGGCAACCTTGTTAAGAGCACGCGCTCTCACCAGCTGAGCCATCCAGTGCTTGTTGGCAGCTCAGCTCGGGCACAGCTCACTGGCCCATGTGGGAATCAAACTGGCGACCCCGTTGCTCAGAGCTCGTGCTCTAACCAACTGAGCCACCTGGCTGGCCCCTACCTTGGCTCTCTTTTGCTAACAAAAATTATTCTTAAGTCTTTTAACAGATATATAGCTTCCTTATTAGAGCTCTCCCACTAACATACCCTGTTATAAAAATAAACTGCTATCCTTCGTGGGAAATTTTCTGGAGGCTATTTCCTGAGACCGGTCTGGCCTTATCTCTCTAGATTAGTACTGATTTAATATGAAACCAATAGTCAAATATCCCTGAAATATTTAGTAAAATGTGAGTATTATATTTCACAGCATTGTCTTCAGTATTTGAGTACTGCTGTATCATATTACTGATACAGCAACATTTCCAGAAGAAATCTGAAGTTTGGAATAACGATAAGCCATAAAATATGGCCATATTATACCAACAAATGAAGCAAAGTTCAAATTTGGATCATAAGAAAAAGACCAAAACATCATCAATGATGATGACAGCCACATCTTTGAACTAAATCTGATTTTCCTGAGGCAGGAAAGTACTGAACCTATTAAAATAGAATACGCCTTTGAAGGACTGAGTAACAAGCCCATCCATCATCCCCCCCCCCAAAAAAAATCAAATCACACTGATAAATGTATTATTAGATGGGAGAAAAAGCAGAGATGACTAAGCTGAAAAAAATCTCCTCTGACTTGTCTTATATCTTTTCTAGGCAATGCTGTTTCTGATAAGACACATGACACAAAATATGTTTTTACTATATATCAAGGTGTGTACGTTAGAGAAGACAACAGTTTATTAAATAGAAAAATTAGATGATAGCAAAGGTAAAGAAGCTTTGGATTCTGAGGAAGAAATACTGGCACCTCTACAGGAGCACAGTATGTAATCTAAAATGGTACAAGTGCTGGCCTGTGTACAGGCTGTCTCTATCATAATCAGAGAGAAAAGCATTATAATCCAGCAGAAGAAGCCTTTCAGAATCTAAGGTGGGGCATTTCCTCAGACAGTAATGGAACACTCACTGCATACAAAGGCAATAGATTAGGTGCTGAGGGATCAATCCAAAAGAACCCCCTGCTACTCTGAAATTAAAAACTGCATTCTCATTTTCTCAAGCCTATATATTTTATGTAATGAAACAAAATTCATATATCTCTTGCAGAGGTGTAGGAGTATTTAGGACCCACAAGGAAAATTATGCAGCTCCCTTTCCCTTTGGCCTTTGCCTGTAGAAATATCCTACTGGTTCCCTGAAAATGGTGTGAGATTTCTCTAGCAAGTGAAATACCACTCTGTTGCTCTCTCTCCCTTACCGTTTCACTTTTTTTCATAACACCTAAGGCAACCTGAAATTTTTTATCATTTGTCTTTCCCAATTAGAACATAAGTTTTATGAAGGCAGAGATTTCAAATATTTTGTTCACAAATATATTTTCAGTATCTAGAACTATATCTAACATGTTGTAGGGTCTCAAAAATTTTGTAAACTTAATAAAAGTGTTAAAAAAAAAACCCCAAACCTCTAGTTAGAATTGTTAAATTCTAAAAATTTTGCCTATTTGTGTATATGTGTGTGTGACAGAGTAAATTTACAGACTCTGTGGTATAATTCCCAATATAGACCTAGTCAGCAGTCAGAAGACCAGAAGCTTATGTGAGGAGGTAGGAGTGACTGCAAAAACAAAACAAAGCAACATGTCTTATTAAAAGGACTGAAGGAATCAATCACTGCCAGCAAATTTCTCTAAAGAGTAAACTAAATTTATCCCTCTGTCCTTTCCATGTCTGAAATCTGACTGTAATGAATTCAAATTCACTTCAGATTAGTTGGGATTGACATTAGCTAGCTTTCTTCCTTGATAAAACGTCCAAATTTATTTAGTATTTTTTTTCTTTTTCTCTCCTCCCTAAATTATTCCCTGCAAGATGCAAGCTCTCAGATGGAACAATCTCCCATTTCTATTTTGAGAGTTGCCTGAGTCACAAGGTAGTCTTGGCGAATCACTCTGCTCTATCTCTCAGCTTATTGAGGCTGCCTGAGAACTTAAACTGTCAGCCAAACAGGAAGAGGGCCCTTCTGCCTAACTCCAAAAGGCCTAAGTCATATGGATGTGGTGAGGTTTAATAATGGATATAAATCACTGCAAATGGATTTCCCACAAGGTGGGGGGAAAAAAAGCAAACTTTTAAGTTAACTTCCTCTATATGAATTCAGGGCTGTTAGAAAAGATAGACTATTAAATATGGCTGAGCAAATGTCCCAATGTTTGCATAACATGTGTTTTCAACTAAAGAGACCCCTTCTGTATTCCTACTATATATGATACCCCATACTCCAAATATAAGCAAAGGAATATGTCTGATCTAACCATAGCAGTTACACTGTTAAACAAAAAAAAAGTCAACGTTCATAAACATGTGTAAACCATAAAGGCCCTTTTTCTTTTCCAAGAAGGGGTATGAAGCATTACTCCCACCTGGATACTGTTATTTGTGTGCCCCCTCTGTGCTCTTGAGTTCCTCTCAGTTGTTGTAACTAGCATGTCCTCCCTAAGCTGTTCTGCCCTAGTGACTATAATTCCAAACTCCCCTCCCTGGCAATGATGACGCTTGACAGAATAACTCTTTCTGTACTTACACAAACGGAAACAGGAGAAATGAAAAGCCCTGGGGATGCAGCCAGTGCAGGTCTCAAATTGATCCGCTGTTAAGCACAACCTGAATTTCTCTGCCTCTCTTCACTTAGCAGAGTTCCTCTCTTGGCTCAGGGTTAGTGATCTTGCATGGCATAGGAGGCTTAGGACCCAGGGGGCGCCTTTCAGCCGAAAAACACCTCGCTGCAGCAAGCTAGCTGGGAAGCTCCCAGTTCTAAAGAGAGGCTGTTTACCAGAAGAGCATAACAAGGGCAGGTCTGACTGCAAGGCTGGGACAGAGAGGCAGAGCTGCCGCCAAAGGGGACTCTGGTTGGACACCGGTTGGTCAATCACCTGCAGGATGAAGGTGGTGAGGATGCTGTTAGCCTGCATGCAAACATTCCTCCTCAGCAACATGCTCCTAGCAAAAGTCTATGGATCTGGAGGTAAGATTACAATCTTTCCTTTCTGCAGCAGCAACTTAATGAAGCAGAAAGGGTAAAGCTCCTTATTTCCCAAGCATGGCCAGGCTACAGAGGAAGATGACAGGAAATGAAGGTTTCTGTTGTCCCATGCAAGCTTTTCTCCCTTCTTTTCCTGCCAGAGACTTGCAGCTCCATCTTTGCCATTAAGAACAAAGGCAAGTAGCCACTTTCTCTTTTCTTTTCCTTGCCTGTGGCTCATGAGTGGATGGAACTTGGGGATTTATCTCCCCTACTGCCTAAGTTATACTGTCTTATTCCAGGGGCTTTGCATGATGTGGCCAGAGCACAGGCCCTCCTTCCCCAGCCTCTGCCCTGTGGCTCTCCTGCTGAGGGGAGTGGGAGTTTGGAGTCACATCCCGGTAGCTAATGAGGCAGGTTCCCTCCGTTTGAGGATGTCTTTTGCATCACTCTATCAAGGCTTTTGTAGAATTCTCTTGGGAGTGTTGCCTGTTGGAAGTTTGGCCATGTCCGCAGAGAAGGGTACACCAGAGTTTATGTAACATGGAATTACAACACAGGGATGAATTTCAGGCCTGGCTGCTCACTGACCCAAAACACCCAGGACCTCCCCCGCACCCTCCTCCTGAAGGGCCACAAGTTCCAGAATAACAACCCTTTGCACTTGTGCAGTGCTTTCCGGTTTGGAAAAAAAAACAAAACAAAAACAAGCTGAGGGCTGGGCACCGGTAGGGTTTTCCACATGAGGCAGGGAAGCCCAGCAGGGCCTAAGGTCTCCCAGCCGGAGTGACCCGGTCTTTCCTGCTCGCCACTCAAGTGTCTGGGGGGGCTCCTTTTCCTCACAGGCTGCTTCTGGGACAACGGCCACCTGTACAGGGCGGACCAGCCCTCCCCCTCGCCGGGCCTCCGCTGCCTCAACTGGCTGAATGCGCCGAACAGCCTGGCCTCTGCGCCCGAGTCCGGTGAGTGTCCGTCTACCCCCGGCGGCGGACGGGCGGCGGCCGTGGCCCCGGCCCCGACCCAGACCCATTGCGCCTTCTCTCCCCTCTCAGGCGCCGGCAACCACAGCTACTGCCGGAACCCGGACCGGGACCCGCGCGGACCCTGGTGCTACGTCAGCGGCGAGGCGGGCGCTCCGGAGAAGCGGCCTTGCGAGGACATGCGCTGCCCAGGTAACCGCATCGGACCGCGGGAACCTCAGAAGCCCCCACGCCCAGGGCACCTGGGAGCGGCCGTTACAGCCACCACGCACGTGCGACCGCACGACGCCGACTGGCCGAGCCCCGCCCCTGCGCCGTCCGATTGGCCAGGGCTATCTCCAGGCCGCAGGGCCTAAAGCTCATTGGACGCTGCAGCCTCTCGGAGTGAGCTCATCCTACGCGGACGCCTTGTAAACAACCGTGGGAGGCGAGGCCCTGCCCCTTAGCCGCGAGCTCTGGGTCCGCAACGCAGCCTGAGGGAGCCCCAGGGACCCTGCTTTCGGGGTGCGACACCCTTAGCGATCCCCTCACTGCTTACTGACGGTTTGTGGATCATCTGCTCCCTGCTAGGCTCTGCTCACAGCAGGAAGAAGCTGTTTAGGGGATCTGAGCCTCAGAGAAGTTCAGCAACTTATCTAAGGGAATGGCAGGATTCAGATTTGAATCCAAGTTTCTTAGATTCTAGAGGGCAGGCTTGTTGCTTTAGAGACTGCAAGACAGTTCTCTAGGATTAAATGGAATATGTAAAACATATAACAGGGATTGGCATGAAGCGTGGGCTCAATAAAGGTGAATTGCCGAGAGGACTCGTACTGCCTCCTGTTACGGAGGGCGACTCCCTGGAGAGGATGGCAGCTGCGCTGAGCCTTGGAAGATGGCAAGGATTTGAACAGATAAGACATGGGAGGCAGGCGAGGCCTTATGGCCTTCCTCTCACATTTCCCTTGTCCCAGCTATGGTACGGCCCTCTCAGGCCTGGTCTTGCCACTGGGGCAGGGTTTGATTTCAGTGTGTATGGGCCATTCTAAGGTGGACACTGCCCCTCCCCCAATACTCAGGCCAGGTTTAATTGTGGAATTCACTGAGGTCATTCTCTGATGAGAGCTGTTTCCCACTTCACCTCCAGAGACTGCTTCCCAGGACCCGCCAATCTCCACAACAGAAACCAAGAAGGCGTCTGAAATGCCAGGTGGAGATGAGGTGCAGGTGTTCCCTCCTGCCAACACCCTGCCTGCCCTGAGCGAGGTGGCAGCTGTTCAGCCTGTGATTGGAATCAGCCAGCGGGTGCGGGTGAACTCTAAGGAGAAAAAGGATCTGGGAACCCTAGGTATGACTGCCCCACCCCTGTCCTGTGGGATTTATGAAGAAGTATTTGCTGATTGTCTGGGGTGAGGCTAATGGGGCCTTGTGTCCTGTCCTTGGCAGGTTATGTGCTGGGCATTACCATGATGGTGATAATCATCGCCATTGGAGCTGGCATCATCTTGGGCTACACCTACAAGAGGTCAGTAGCTTCTTTTCTGGGCTCTCTTAGAGTATGGGAGGAAGGTACACAAATTGAATCACACTCCTTTGGGTCATTACTCAAGAAAGTAAAGAGAAAGAAAAAAACCAGCTCAAGATGTAGAGACTTGGTTCTAGTCTTTACTAGGTGACCTTGGACAGACCCTTTCCTTTGGTGCCTTTACTCCGCACCCAAAAGCCTTTTGGGGTACGGGTTCTTGTTGCCCATTTTACAGATGAGGAAACCTTTATCAGAGAGGTAAAGTGAGTCACCTAAGGTCACAGAGCCTGGGAGTGGCAGAACTTGGATTCAAACCCGGCTCTTTTAACACCAAACTCCTTGATGGTCTAGCCATCGTGTCTGGGGTGGAAGTGAGTGGCACTGCAGAAATCAGGCTGGACACTCATTACAGGGACCCAGAGATTGAATTCTTTCTGTGAGTTATAAAATTCTGCTGTAAGCAGAGGTCCCCAGCTACCACTTTTGCCACTGGGGCTTGAGTTTCCTGAGCCATAGGAATCTCCTCTAGGACATGAAGAGAAAAGTGAGTTGGAGGACAGAGAGTCTGCATACTACTCCTCACCACATATCAGAAAGCCAAAGAGGCTACCTGGGAAACTCTGGGACATGACCTGTGTGTCTGGGACAGCAGGAGGAGAAATGCTTATTTTGAGAGGGTCCCTGAGATAACACGTGGCAAAGGCTGTCAACGTTAGTGATGGGTGTATGATGATTGGGTGTATGATGATAAACTAGAGTTGCATTCAGTTTTACAGGACTGGCTAACTCTGGGAAAATTATTTGCTGTTTGGGGGGATTTGTCAGAATCAGGGGATTTGACCTCTAGCCCTGGTTTTCTGTGATATTTCTCTTCTGTGATCTGAAAAGGCTTCCTGTAAGGGAAGTGACATGGCAGCCTGCATATCTGAGGTGAAGGCCATGTCTGAGCCCACAGCCCTCGTGAATCACCCAGCATTAAATAAACCTAAGGTGTCCTTAGAGGTGATGTAGCCAACCTCCTCATTTTACAGATGAAAAAGGGAAAGTGTTGAGGAACAACAACAAAAACAATGCTAGCAGCAGCAGCAGCAAACATTTACCATATACCAGATATTGCTTCAAGCAGTTGCATGCTTTAACTCAATTCTTACAATCACTTTTATGAGGCAAATGATCTTATTAGTCCCCAGCTTACAGATTATGATACTGAGGTAAGAGAGGATATGTACCTTGCCTGAGATCACACACCTAACATTTGGTGGAACCAAGTCTTAGTCCTGCCACTAACTAACTATCTGTGTGGCTTTGGGCAAGTTGCTTCTATTTCTAGTCCAGAGCATTGCTGTAGCTAAGGCATATGACTGCTTAGCTCAGTGATCATAAATGGTAGCTGTTTTTCTTTTCTGCAAAATGTGGGTACTGTATTAGTGCTCTCCAAGCCCTGTTCCTTCTCTTAATTTTCTATGATTCAGGAAGTAGAGGTTCAGAGAGGAGAAGTATTGACCTGAGAGGGTCTCCTGAGTCCAGTCCAAGGTTGTTGCCCCCAGTGGGATGGTTGATGTGGCAGGTCTAGGGATACCTGCTTGTTCATTCCAGAGTGTTAGAGGAAATGATGTGGTGACCCTGGCCTAGAACTTGTAGTCAGAACCAAACCATGTTAGCTAAGTTTAACCCTCCTTCCTCAGCCACTGGATAGCAGTTGACTCTCCTCCAATCTCATGACAGTTTCTAGGCCTCCAGGTGCTTGAAGTGACTAAACGTTCTTAATTCCAAGCTCAGTTCTCATGCCCACTGAGGGAGCCAGGCCTTTCTTCTAGATTTGCTATTCTAGATTGTCACGAGACTGCCCTGAGTCCTAATATTTAATTTCCTGTAAACTCAGGGCAAGACACCAAGTCACAAGACTCCCCGTTACTAACCACTGAACCACCCTTTTCCTCAGTAAAAGTGCTCTGAGAACAGACTATACATACAACAGGAAACCACATGCGTGCTAGAATCAAGCTCTCCCCAGAGTCAGAGAGTACGTGTCCTGTTGAGGGAACGTTCTGCCACTCTGCACCTTGGTTTCTTGTCTGTTGAATGGGGATCTATCCTCCCTCCACACCATAGCCACCCCACACCCACCTACCCAAGATTACAAATATTAAATGTAAATAGTAGAACACTAGTCAGGTTAAACAGTCACAGTAGCAGCCAACATGTATTGTAGGATCTTGCCCAAACCTCATGACCACACTAGAAGAATCGCTTTTACATTGTTTTACATACAGTGCCATGTCCAAGGTACACAGCTAATAAGGCGTGTCTACAGATTATCAAGAGCTCCCAAAAGTCCAGAGAGGCCTAGTAGCTTCATGCAAATTGGTTTGAATTTAAAAGGACACTAGGAAAAATAGAAATTTTCAAAATAAAATAGCTGGCTTTAAAAGTAAAAAAACTCCCCAAACACCAGGATCTAGTTCTGGAACTACTACCAATTCTGGGTGTGACACTGGACAAATCATTTACCTTCTCTGGTTTTGTCAGTTTCCTCATCTGTAAAACAGTGTAGGTGCAGGAGGTTAGACATGGTGATCTAATATTTCCTAAAAAGACAATATTACCTGCTGGTGGCTGCAGGCAGGACTGGGTTCAAATCCCAGCTCTGCCATTTGCTTGAATAAATGATTTAACCTCTCTGCATCTGCCTTTCCATCTCTGAAACAGAAATCCTAATAGATGCCATGTAGGTTTGTTGTGAGGATGAAACGAGACACTATTTTGGGCATACATTTGGTGTTCATAATAACCTTAGCTGCCTTGAGGAACTTTTCCTGAGCAACAGTGTGGCACAGCACTGCTGACTGGGAAAATAGCCATGGCTCAGAATTACGTAATAATTTGAAGAAACCTGTGTTGCCTGAAGGTTGTCTTCAGTGGCTCCACAACCTCCCCCACCAAAAAAAAAAATAATAAATATATATATATGTCAGAGGCAGGCAGGAGCTCCATCGGCACCTGGAGCAGTCAGGGGTAGAATTACAGCAAGCCTTGAACTCCGCCAAAGGCCATGAGGCTAATGGGATGGAGCTTTCCCCTGGCTGGGAAGGGTGGGTAGGCACCAGGCTTTCTCTCAGGGGAGGAAGGGCGGCAGGTGGGGGTGGGTGAGAGCTTAGCCAGGCTGGTCTTTGTCCTGGTTGTCTAGGCCACGAGGTTCAGATGGCCAGTCTACAGCTCCGTCCCTGGTCGCTGCCCCAAGCGCAGTGTCTCTGCTAGCTCTGCTAGCTTCTTTTCTGATTAAAAAGGCAAAGGAAAAACTGTAAGTCAACACCACTCCACCCCTTAGGAAAGGAGCTGAGTCAGTGAATAAGTCTTTTGTTCTTTCTTGGCTGCCAGAAAACAGTCTGGCTACCCCCACTCCCCAAGAAAGGCAAGGAGAATGGGCTGAGCTGCCTGATGGTCAGTGCAGCAGGCCTAGTAGCCTTTCGAATCCTGAAGGGAGCTGGGGCAGCCACTGCATCTCCAGGATTCACAGGCACCTTTAACAGGAGGCACGTGAGGTTGGGTGCAGAGATCAGAGGCTTCTAAATGGATGAGACTTTAATCCAGATGAGTCCCAGGACCTGCTTCCTTTCCCCTTGGCTGCTCTTCCAGCCCTGCTCTGTCTCATTAATACGGAATTGATTTTTCCCTCCTAAAGACTTGATGCAGCCTGACCATTGTCAACAGCTCAGCTGGCCGCAGCCAGATGTTTGGTAAAGGAGGTAGCTAAGGAGAACAAAGTCTGTTTCTTCATCTATAAAATGTGGACATTATCTTGCAAAGTTGGTGTGGAAATTAAAGACGATATATAAAGTGTGTGGCATCCAGCAAGTGTATAGGAAGCTCTTCTCAGCCTGGATGGGAAGGCCATTTCCCAGCACCTTAGTAGATACTCAGGAAGTACCCTTTTCCTCCAGCCCCTTAGATTTTCAAATTCAGGCCTGGGCAAAAGACACTTCTTTTGAAAATTGCCTTTTGATCTTCTGCTAGCATGGGGGCTCCCTTAATAAAATTAAACCCAGACCATCAAAGTTTCTCCCTACCTGGGCAACCTTGAAGAATCTGGCTTTCTGTTTTATTATGGAGGTAGGTATTTCCTTCTGTGTGGCAGCAGTTGTAACTGATGAACAGTGCCCAGGGACAAAGTGGATCTCAGGCTGTGAGTGAGGATGCACTTGGTCCAGATGACCCTCTCCCCATGTCCCTCCATCTCTTCTCTGGGTGCTCTGGGAGTTACTCTGCTGTGGGACTTGGTGGAGTCCAGTACAGAGGCTAATGAGAAGGCTAGGGCAGGAGCCTCGGCTTAGCACATTCAGAAACTCAGTCACCCGGGATGACTCATGGAGATGAGCTCACAAATTTGCCTTCTGTGACCTTACACTGAGAACGAGGGAATCAGAGCACATCTCATGTGAGGGACCTTACAGTGTTAGGGGCCCTAGTCCATCTCCTTGTTTTACAGATGATGAAATTGATGCCCAGAGGGGAGGGCAGTTGCTGAGATCACATAAACAATACTTGCCTTGGCTGGTCAGTAGGAGAGTTTCCTTGGGAAACCAGATTAAGATAACATTGTTCGGTGAGTCAAGTCATATTCAGGACAAACCTTAATAACCTCCTATGAGTTTTATAGCAGTTACACTGTTTTTGAAATGCTGTCACATTCATTATCTTATTTTGAGGCAGATATTATCCACATTTCACATAGAAGGGAACCAAGGCTCAGCAAGGCAAAGTGTTTTGCCAAGTGTCACACAGCCAAGGCTGTTGGTGCTAGAACATGAGTAAAGAGCTGATTGATTTAAAGACAGTTCTGAGGCACCTGTACAAAGTCCTCCTCTTCCAGCCCCTATTATTTTCTCAATATTCTTCTCCTGCCTCTGGAAACTTTTGTCATTGCATCTCACATCGTGACAGATGTATAATCCGTCAGATCTCAGCCATCTCCGTGAGGAGGTCTGAAGCAGGCCTGCATTGTTTCACCAAGTCATCCATCAGCTGCCTATTGCAAGGCCTCTTTGGGGAAGGTGCTCCTTCCAGGAAGATTTCCTCTGGCAGCTGAGCCCACATATCTAATAGTTGCTGACTTTGGAGGATGCTGACCTGCGTTCTGAGTGCTGGTTCTGGTGTGCAGTGTGCTAGGCACTCACCAAGGCCTTTGGCCTGCAATGGGGGTAGCCTGGTCCAGTGGGAAGGGCCCTACCTGTGTAGCCAGAACACTGGATTTGAGTACCTGCCCCACCGTTTCTTTGAGGTGATCCTGATCAGGTCTTAACTTCTCTGAGTATCAGCCAGAGTTCAAGAGAGTTCGGTTGAAGCCCACCATGTGGTCAGAGAGTACTTTAACTTTCCTGGGCCATTTCCTCATCTATAAAATGAATCAGACCTAATTCTTAGAGTTCAACTGAGAATGAAGTGAGATAATGTACATAAAGTCCTTAGCATGGAGTAAATGCTCCACGTAAGTAAATGAGGCAACACCATGGCCTGACTGGGTCACTGAGTACTATGAGAATTCAAAGGCGTGTGAAAACTGATGGGTCTGATGGTCATTGTCGCATTGTTTCCTATTGACCTAAGCAGCCCTCAGAGTACTTTTTTGCCCTCTGTGTGGGTTGAGGGCAGTCCCTGTTTCCAGCCAGGGCTCACACCTTCTGGAACTTTAAGATAAGACAATTGTCTCAGAACAGGATAGGTCAGTTTTATGGACTTTCTGGGTTAGGGCTGAAATAGTTCTCTGGGTCTCTTGGCGTCCAAGGCTGAAAGAACAAAATTGTATCTTGCTTGAAGAGTGTCTTTCCTCTGCATTCGCTTCATTGAGCCCCACTGTAGCTCTGTGAGGTTCATGCCACTGTCACCCCCATTTTACAGACGAGGAAGCAGAGACCAGAGGTGTAGGAGCTCCTTGTTCAGGCAGCCTGGCAGAAGAGAAATCTAGTACATCGCTCACTGTTTCGCTCAGAACACGGCTAGCTCCTGCCCTGCCTGGGCCTCAGAGATGCTACCTAATGAGCCGAACCATGCAGGAGGCACAGCTTGAACACTTCCTTCTTTACTTGCCAGGGGGAAGGACCTGAAAGAGCAGCATGAGCAGAAGGTGTGTGAAAGGGAGATGCAGCGAATCACCCTGCCCTTGTCTGCCTTCAGCAACCCCACCTGTGAGATCGTGGATGAGAAGACTGTCGTGGTCCACACCAGTCAGACTCCCATCGACCTTCAGGAGGGCAGCGCCCCCCTGATGGGTCAGGCAGGCACTCCTGGGGCCTGAGCCCCTGCACAGTGGGCAGGAGCCCATGCAGACACTGGTGCAGGATGGCATACCCTCCTACAGATGGGAGAACCAACACTTTTTGTTGTGGTTAAAACCCTCCCCCCACTTTTTTTTTTTCCTTTTGTTTTTTTTGTGAATCATAAGCAGATGGCACTGTGGGCTCAGGGCGAGTCTGGGTAGGGTCCTACCGATGCTCTTTCTCCATTCCTTGGAGTGGGAGTTTGCCCATGGATGGAGACAGTGGCAGTCCGCCTTCCTCCCCCCAGCAGTGTGGCTGACAAGGGCTTCCAAACACTGCCTGCGCCCCGGAACTGAATCAGGGACAGACAGGGAGCTCTCCCAGGCTCCTCTGTGCTTTATTATCTAAGGTGGCCTTGGGGTCCGCCCTTCCATTTGTTCTCTGTGGGTTTGAATGGCGTACACTGTTATTCATAGTTCAGGTCAAGCAGGACGAGAGGTGGCATTTAAAAAAATATATTTAGTTTTTTAAATATTTGGGATGGAACTCCCTCCTGACCTCTGAGAATGGGAAGTGAGTTTGTGTAACAGTCTAAACTGTGGGTTGAGAACGGGATCTAGGCTGGGGGCTGCTGGGTGTGCTCCAGCCTGCTGGCAGAGATGTGCCTTGACAACAGCGGGCCAGGCCTGGACCTGGGGCCAGGGACTCTTCCTGTTTCACAAGGAACGGAACGGAAAAATTGCACTGAACATTATTCCACTTGGGAAGAGGGTAGAGAAGGATCACGACTGCCTTAGGCCACAGGACCTGAGGTGGACTGGGGGTGCTCCAGACAGTGTCTCTTCAGGGTGTACAGTGACCTCTCTTCATTTTGCAGGGGTAAGACAACAGCCAGCTAACCTATGGGAATTACACTGTGGGGCCTGTGAGCTGCTTCTCAGAGGTTAACCTGGAAACTAAGCTCAGAGGCAAGGTATTAATAATCAAGTGCTTCAGGGCTCGCCCCTGCAGTGGCCTAAGTTTGCAGGTGGCTCTGTGGCTTCTAGGCCAGTGCCTTCTGGAGGGGCAGTGGGGCTAGGATCACAACCCCTAACTTGTAAAGCAGTCATAGAATCATTGGAAGGGACCTTAGGGTTCCTCAAGCCTTTTGGACACTGGGGCCCAGAGGGGGACAGTAACCCCTAGGCCATAGAGCAAGCTACTGGCATGGCCAAGAGGAGAGTACAGTTTCCCATGGCCCCATGCTGCCCTGTGTCAAAGGCTCAGTAGGGCCTCCAAGTCCTGAGGTCCCACTCGGAGGCGTTAGCAGCGCCCCCTATCCAGAGCTTCCTTCCCAAAGCCCTTCCATTGCCCCTTGTGAAGAGGTGGGGGGGTTAGTGCGGCCTATTCTCTTTAGCAGACTGTTCCCAGGGGTGGTTTGCTGAGGGGACCTATGCCTCAGGGGGTCCCTTGGTATTACTGATACTGAAGAAGAGAACATTACTGGTTTCTACTTTTCTATAAAAGCATTTCTCTCTCTACATGTTTTATATACCTCATTCTGACACCTGCATATAAAATGCAGGAAACTGCTCTGTATTTGACTTATATAAAAAAAAATTAAAAAAAAAAGACTCCGTATTGCCAAGTTTTTCTTGGGTGTTAGAAACACTTATCCCCTAAGTTGGAAAGTTTCTGGTTACCTTGTCAACACCTGTGTGGCAAGCTCAGGCTTTCTCCCTCACCCTGGCCCTGTAACCTAGAGGTGGCAACAGCTGAGTGGTCGGTAACTGCAGCCTCCGTGTCTGTCATCACCAGGAATCTTTCAGGTCGAAGCTGCAGGAAAGATGGGTGTGCGGGTGTCTCAATGGGCCGTTGGTGACTGCAAATCTTCTCCCCCTCAACGATCTTCCTGCGGTGGGGGTAGTTAAAATGGACATGCAGGCAGCCCTTGGCTGGGGCTGGAAATGGGTGGTGGGTGGTGGTGCTGCAGCAGCCAGAGGAAGGATGTGTGCAGAGTGGGATGGGTCCTTGGGCTGCAGGGAGCAACTCGGGGCAGAGGAAGGACCCTGCGGAGTGACTCCTAGGGCTCCCAGAAGCAACTAACAATGGGAGTGTTTGTTCGATTTTAGCAACAGGTTTAGTCTCTCGGAACACCCAGGGTGACCTCTGCCCATGCCCAGACACTGCTCTATGGTGCTTTCAGCAAGGGGCACCCTACAGCTTCAGCTTTTCCAGGAACCAGATTCTGCCCTTAAGCTGGGACTCCTCAGGCTTTGGAGAAATCACCTTTGGGTATATGGATTCATATTGTGCTCAGGATCCCACGCACCAGTAGCATCATCCTGCCCAATGGTTACCCCTCCATAACACCCCCCATGTGCAGAAGCAAGAACTGGGTCTTTTCCTCTCACAAGCACTAGGGGTGGGGTGAGTTGCATTCACTTTTTCCCATTATGAAGGTGGCACCCAGCCCTGTGGACAGGGCCCAGGATATCCAGGCTTTAGGAGTGCACATATATGAAAGGCTGGGAGTATATGGCAGGCGGGAGTCAGACCTACCTAAGGACTGGGCTGCCTGCCTCAGGTGGGATGTACATGTTCTCTGAAGCAGACTGGTGTCTACATATGGAGTGGGGATTCGAGTTAGGGGGCATAAGAACTCCCTGCCATGGGAAGCCATGTGACCTGGCCAGTAGCATTCCTCCAAAAGGAAGCAGACAGGCCAGCAGACCCACCACATGCATCTCCCTAAGCCAGGCTCCAAGTCACACTCTCAGTATCTCCAGTTATGTTAACTGCTTAATTTATTTGGTCTGCTCAATGGCCCAGCTTGGATCCACCACTCCCAAGCTTGCTGGGGACAGCTGAGGCACAACCAGCCACACAATGCTGACCTTGCTGCTGTTGGGAGCCCAGGGCTCAACCCCACAAGCTTGCACACTCACATATACATATGGTCTATAGAGCATAGCCAGAGATGACATCTAATCCCACAACTCGTCAGGTCTATGAACAGTATTCCACATATCACCCAACAGATACAAGACGGTATTAACAGCAACCACTCTCTTGGATCACTCCCACCCGCCTCCTCCTTCCCACCCCCAGTACAACCACCACATATCACAGTAAGATCCCAAACCCATCCCCAATGTGTTAAATACGGCGCAAGCTCCCGCTTAGGAGGAGCCCAGGTGGAGGCTGCCCCCAGGGCTTTTCAGTACCCATGGCTGTGGCTCAGGAGGCTGCAGCCAGTAGCTAGCAAGCTGGACTGGCCAACAGGGGATGTAGAAGCCAGATGGCCCAGCTCAGGAAGCTGTCTCTAAGCTCTGGGACTGCCGCCACCTCTTCCTGCCCAAGTTAGTACCTGGATCAGGTATGAAGGGTGAGCAGTGGCTGCCACAAAGCCAAGAGATGGCTGAGATTCCCACTCCTCTGGTCTCATACACTGGGCCTGTGACAAGCCACACTGTCCTCCAGAACCCATCTAGCTCTATAAAGTGTCTCGGGCTTCTGACCGAGGTGCCCACCAGGGTGAGTGACAGAAGCCAGGATATGGGTTTTCTAGAGGGCAGGGCCTCTTTCTTTCCAGCCACCAGCTCCTTCCTGCACTGTGGGTGACTTCTTATTGCAGGCAGAGAGGATGCCACCCAGCAGTTCTCAGCCAATCTCTAGCAAGTTTGAGAACTAGGCAGAAGCTCCCCTCACACTGGTGTGGCATGGGAGGTGAACAGAACCCAGCCCTTCCTGCCTCTGACTCCTGGCCAGTTCCACCACAAACTAAGGGACTCTTTAAAATCGACTCCCTCAACCCCTGCCCCAGGGGAGGGTGGGACGTGGAGTAGAAGGGGAGTAGCACCACGTACATTTCACGTCCTTGGATTGCCACCTGGCCACCAGTCTTTCTCTTGTCCACACTCCCAATTGAAGTCCTCCTGTCCCCATTTAGACCAGACCTCAGAGCTGACGGGCAGGTTCACCTTGGAATCCTGCCCAGCAGGTCCAGGTCACACTGATTAGTGTAAGCAAGAGCCTCCTGGAACCCCACTGCCAGGGAGTTCCCCAGTGGTCACGAGTAACAGATCTTCCTGGCCCAGGGGCCAGGCTTTTTTTTTCTTTCTTCTTCTTCACAGCTTTCAGGCGAGTTTTGGATTTACAGACAGTAACCAGGCCCCAAAACTTGTGGAGATGCGTTCCCCTGGTGCTGCGCCTGCTCGCCTCCTGGGGAGGTAGTAGGGATGGCTTGTTCTGCTTCTAAACAAGCCGCCAATCCACAGGAAGCCCGGACTGCCCTGCCCACAGCAGGGATGGGGCGCAGAGGGGGCAATGCTGGCTGTGGAAGGCCCCCCTGCAGGGGGCTGGGCCAGGGCTAGGGGGGCGAGTCCCGGGTCAGGCCATACTGCATGTTCACAGTGTGGTCCAGCTCCTCCAGCTCTGCAGGCAGTGGGATGCCCAGCTCCCCCAGGTACAGAGAGAGGGCCTCAAAGTAGTCCTCCAGTTTTGAGAACGCCGGTCTAGAAAGAAAAGGGGTATGTTGGAGGCACGTGAAATATGGTTAGGGCCACAGGGTGGTGTGGACGGTACTCGGGCCTGTGGCTTAGTAACTTCCTAGTTGTATGACCTCGGGAAAGCCCCTGAACCTTGCACTTCTGTGGGAAATGGGGATAAGATAATGCTATTGCTACTGCATAGGGTCGCTATAAAAATCAGCATTAACACTGTGAGAAGGCTGGCTTGGCTCCAGGCAGTAGCTTAAAAAAAGAAAGTCCAGGAGAAAAAAGCTCCTCCTATGTCTTGGAGAAAATGTCATCATCAAAAGCGGGACTGGACTAAGTGCCTTTTTAAAGTTCCTTTCCAGTCCTCAGACTGTTTCCACGTCAGATGGATCTGCCTGGAAAGGGGCATTTCAGAGACGCAGCAGCTCATCCCAAGGAGAAAGCAAACACGGAGCCATTAAAAATAGCTTAGGTGTCCTGGAATCCTATTGGGTTGTCGGAAAAATCATGACGTATTTTTTCTCTTTCGTTGCAAAAATGCGTCATGATTTTTCCGACAACCCAATAAGTCTCAGGCTCACTCCCCCGCCTCCTCCATGTTTTTGCTTAAATATCTTGTCACCTTCTCAGCCTACCCTGATCACCGTTATTTCAAATTACAACTTGCACCCTAAACAATCCTCTTTCCTCAACGTTACATTTTTAAATACCATTTGTCACTTTCTTATATTCCGTATAGTTTATTTTATCTATAGTTTATCATTTTTCCTTGATAGAATGTGAGTTCCAGGAGGGCAGACACCTTTGTTTTGTTCACTGATATATCCCAAGTACTTAGGACAGTACCCAGCACATGGGAGGCACTCAGTATATATTTTTGAATGAATTAAAGACAGACATTTAGAATAACTGAAAAGGGATATTAATTTTAGCAAACAAATATTGTGTAGCTTCACATGTTTTCCTCAGGCGCTTATTCCGGTGTTACTGAGGGACTGCGGTCCTTTGGTCCATGAATATGGAGCCTCCCACCAGCCAGTCCTGATGCTACAGGGGACCTTTGGAAATAATTTTAAACTAAAGGTTATGTGCCAACTGGTTACCTTTGGGGGATGGAGCTGGGGAGCGAGACAGTGTTGAGGGGTACATTGGTTAGGAGATTATAACACTTCCTGTGCTATAAATTTTGTTGCTGTTTGAATTTGTTTTTTAAAAGAAACATGATTTTTGATAGCAGAAAAAAAACACAAAGCTTCTAGCT